AGAACACGGCGAGAGGTGGGGTGGTAGAACTGCCACCCAGGCGCGTCAGGGGGGAACCCCAGGAAGACGCAAGGAGCAGCACGAGGGGACAGCTTGTCCGCAGACAAGTCGCGGACAAACGCCCGAGATCCCCAGACCCGGAACGCCGACGCATCGCCAACCTTCCCCGTCCACATTAAGGCTGGGGAGGTCTCCAGCCTGGAGACTCTGGGGTGGAGGTTGATCTGATGCACCGCGTACCTCACCGCAAACGGCCACAGAAAATGGGGGGCAGCCGCATGCATCATGGACGTACGAGCGACGTCCATGACCATGCCAATGCGGCGCTCAGCGATCCCATTTTGCTGCGGAGAGTCCGGAAGCGTGAAGGTCTGGCGGATGCCTCGTGCGCGACAGTAGGCTCTCAGAAGGCCAGAAGAAAACTCTCTGCCTCTGTCTGAGTGTAGACGCAGTACATGAAAGTCCGAGCCAAAGCTCTGCCTGAGCTGGAGACGAGCTGCGCGGATCCAGTCGATCAGCACCTCAGTGACATCACCCTTGCTGCGCAAGGGGAAGACCGCGGTGTAACGCGAGTAGTCGTCAACAACGAGCAGGAAGTAGCGCTCGTGACCCTGTCCACGGACGCGGGCTGGGCCCCACACGTCCATGTGAAGCGTCTGCAGCGGGGCCTCTATCGGAGGAAACTGGGAGGAGTGAGGGGCAGCCCGCTGGCGCCCCTCGACACAGGGGACACAGGTAGGGCCAGGGCCCTGAGGAAGGGGAGGGAGGGACCGGGGCAGACCAGACACAAGAAGACGGGAGGCCATGCCTCTGAGCCGAAGCAGAGAGGGGTGACCAAGGCGGTGGTGCCAGAGGAGAGTCTCGTGAGACAGGAGACGACACGAACAGGGGGCAGACTCAGGACCAGACCTGGACGCTGCAGCAAACACCTGACCCAACGCAGCTACCCTACCAGACGCAACAACTGGAAGAGACACAGTGGTCAGTGTGTACAGGCTCGACCCCGGCTGACGGGTAAACGTAGCCAGGTGTTGGCCTGTGCTAGCGTCGGTGCAGTGCGTCACCCGCTGGCGCGCAGGAGTGAACTGGTGGACACCCGCATCCTGTAGGTCAGCACCACTCACCAGGTTCGTAGAGAACGAGGGGAGGTAGAGACCAGACAGGGTGCCAGTGGGAGCCGCCGGACACGCGAGGACTGTAGAGAAGCGAGACAGGACAGGACCCCCAGAGGGGTCAGCCAGAGACACCGCAACCGGCCGACTAAGCGGCGTGAGTGTGGTGCGGTCCCGAAAGAAGGAGCGAGAAGCCCCAGAGTCAAGGGTGAAGGTGAGGGAGGCCGAAGACGACGTAGTACCTGAGAGCGCAGACTCACCAGTACCTGAGGGCGCAGACGCACTGGCACCTAGAGCAGCAGCCTCACCGGCACCTAGAGCAGCAGTACCAATGCCCGGGTCGGGCGGGAAACACCGGTAACAGTCACCCTCATCACTAATAGTCACAGCATACATTGCAGCAAGGATAGCATCAAAGTCAAGATCAATGATAGCTACGCCTGCCCTAGACAGCTCTCCCCAGCGGGGGATCCCACTGGCCTCCGGGAACTGCTGACGCCAAGCGTCCGTCAGGCGGCCAAAGCAGCGCTGGGCGGTGTGGGCACCCCCACACTGCTCACCCGCGCGGTCGCCGGTGCGAAGAACGTAGGTGCAGGGACCAAAGCCCCCGCCACGCTGACGCTGTGTGTACCACTCACGGAGCTGCTGAGGGGACAGGCCCTCACGGCCTCGCTGCTGCTGCTGGTGTGTGGCACCACCGGAACCACTCCTCTGCGACGACCCGCGACCGGCTCCACCGCCACCCCCGCCGCCTCCGCCGCCTCCGCCGCCTCCGCTACTGCTGCCGCCTCCGCCACCGCCTCCACCGCCGCCACCTCCGCCACCGCCGCTCCCACCGCCGCCACCGCCGCCAGCCCCGCCTCCACTGCCGCCACCGACCCCTCCACCCCCACCTCCACCCCCACCGCCATCCCCACTCCCCCCACTGCCGCCACCTCCACCTCCACTGCCCCCGCTGGCTCCTCCTGCGCCCTTGCCCCCCTTGCCCTTGCCAGAGCGGCGTCTCCCGCTAGGGGCAGACCTCGCACCGACCGACTCAAGACCAAGGAGGTCAGCCGCAGCAGCAGAGGCATTAGAGGGCAGAAGGGGGGAAGGGGGAACACCCCTTAAAGATGGGGGTGCGCGGGTCACCACGAGAGGCCCCTACAGCGACTATGCTCTTCTCGGCCGCTAGGAGGGACTTCTCGAGGAGGTCAACAGTGAGAGTGGTGGGACAGACAGAGAAAAAGTGGTCCCTGACTATGCGAAGGGAGTCAGGAAGGCGAGTGACTATGTAGTAAAGAGTGATGTACATGGGGGGGGGGGGTTCTTGGCGCAGAAGTTAGTTGGAAGTGCAGCGCGGTAGCGAGTATCACTAGTGCGGAGGTGCGTAATGAGGTCAGCTATTGTGGGAAAGGCAGCAAGGTCAGGGAAGAGGTACGGTAGCATGAGACGGCTCAGTGCAGCAGTGGCAGGGGAGGAGTAGCGCGCAACTACAGCGTCGTACAAGGTCTGAGCACTCTTGTACTGACTAAAGTGCGCACGCTCGGAGGTAGGGAGGTGGCGACGCACAACAAGACGTGCAGCAGCGTCGCGCGTGGCCCACTGGGAGCGAACAGTGGCGTCAGCATCAGCAGCAGGGGCTGGGGCAGCACCAGAGGTGAGGTCAAAGAGAGAGAGGCCGTCTGCCCTATCACACTGTAAGAACAGCTGCAGGTCATTTACCCAGACCTCAAAGTCAATGGCTCTACCCTTAGCGTCAAAGGCGAGGACACTAGGAGTAGCCATGACCGTAGACGACCAGTAGTGCAAACAGTAGGGTGGGGGGGCAGTGCAGTGACAAAGGGGTTGTGCTCACCAGACTGAGCAGGTCGGGCGGCTCGGAAGAAGGGCGGCTCGGACGCTCGGCGGCTCGGCTGCTCTACGGCTCGGCTGCTGGGCTGCTCGGCGGCTCGGCTGCTCTGCGGCTCGGCTGCTGGGCTGCTCGGCGGCTCGGCTGCGGCTCGGCTGCTGGGCTGCAGGGCGGCTCGGCGATGCAACAGGTGACGGGGCCGAGACAGGCGGCGCACGGGCGGCGAAGAGCCGGGATAGGTGGCGAGGGGCCGGGGCGGGTACCGCACGGGCGGCGACGGGCCGGGGCAGCTACGCGGGGCCGGGACGAGCAGCGCACGGGCGGCTACGGGCCGGGACAGCGGCGTGGGGCCGGGACGGGCGGCGCACGGGCGGCGTGGGGCCGGGACGGGCGGCGCACGGGCGTCGACGGGCCGGGGCAGCGGCGCGGGGCCGGGACGAGCGGCGCACGGGCGGCGTGGGGCCGGGACGGGCGGCGCACGGGCGTCGACGGGCCGGGGCAGCGGCGCGGGGCCGGGACGGGCGGCTCACGGGCGGCGTGGGGCCGGGACGGGCGGTGCACAGGCGGCGTGGGGCCGGGACGGGCGGCGCACGGGCGGCGTGGGGCCGGGACGGCGGCGCACGGGCGTCGACGGGCCGGGGCAGCTGCGCGGGGCCGGGACGGGCGGCGCACGGCGGCGTGGGGCCGGGACGGGCGGCGCACGGGCGGCGTGGGGCCGGGACGGGCGGCGCACGGGCGGCGTGGGGCTGGGACGGCGGCGTGGGGCCTGGACGGGCGGCGCATGGGCGGCGTGGGGCCGGGACGGGCGGCGCACGGGCGTCGACGGGCCGGGGCAGCAGCGCGGGGCCGGGACGGGCGGCGCACGGCGGCGTGGGGCAGGGACGGGCGGCGTACGGGCGTCGACGGGCCGGGACGGGCGGCTAAAGGGGCCACTAGGGGCCGAGAGAGAGGGGAGCGCAACTCGGGCAGGGGCTGAGTGCGCTCCGGGCAGGAAAAAAAACGGTGGGCCCTAGGAACAGTTCCCACGAGGGAACCTGCTCGATACCATGAGAAAACTGAAACGAGAATGGATGAACTATGAATGAAGTGAGTACACATAGGAAACCCTAATTGGGTTGTACCCCCTATGGGATACCCCACTATAGCCTACACAAAAGCATAAGCTATAATGTTCTGACAAGCCACCAAGGAAGGACTCTATCTTCGAGAGCTGCTGGAAGAAGCGAAGTTAGCCGAGTTACCCAACTTTACCCTGTTCTGCGACAACCAATCGGCAATTCGCATCGCCAACAAGAACGGCTTTCGAACAGGACGAAACATATCGCCCTGCGATATTTCTTCGTGAAGAACGAGATCGAAAAAGGAAGGCTCGAGCTGTCATACTGCCCCACGTCCGAGATGGCAGCTGACTACCTGACCAAGAAGCTTGGAAAGCATAAGTTCGAATACTGCATGCTGCTGACTGGACAGAGCCACGTCAGCGACACTCCAGAAGCGAAGGGGAGGGTTGGAAACAATCGGTCCTAAGCGCTTCTGTCGTGTCGAAACACTAAGGCACAAGCGAAGCAAAGCATACCGAGGCACCAGCGAGTCAACCCTCGGAGGTTGAAGTAACCGCTGGAGGTTACGCGAAAGTCAAAGGTCAGCGACCTTTGACTTGGCAAATACAGCGTGACAGCAAGGACACACAACTGACTCGCTACAGAGCAGTTGCCCGAGTCGTCACTGTATCGAACCGCAACAGCAACAAGTAAAACAGTTATAACTGTATCCTTTCATATTCCTTGTACTCTTATATAATCTTGTATCCTTTTGTTTTAATCAACTTACTTTGCCCTAACATACTAGCGCAAGGTGGTTCACAACTTCTTAATTAACGCTTCCGCTGCTACACCAACTCTACCCATAGTTCACCCCTGCAAAGATCCTAAGGGCTTTTTCAGCCTAACATATCTAACTCATGTTGTACAGAGTTGCATGCATAAAACAGTAATAGTCAACAACATACACTAACAAAAGAACCTGCCCCACATCAAATCTACCATACTCCAGAAGCTCTACTTCTGCTGCACATAGTCGCTGGGAGTGGCCTCCCAGATGATGGTGCCATCACAGGAGCACAGCGACTTGTAGTTCTGCCCCACTCCTGCACTGCGCGCGATCACCGCTGCTGCCAGCCCCTTGCTGCTGCTCCTGTCAGCCCCGTCATACACCGCCACGGCCCGGCCTATGAGGTCCCACACCTTGAGGCGCGTGCTGGGTGCTGCATAGGAGGCATGACCCTTGTCGTCCGTGTTCAGAACTCCCAGATCGCCTGCAGGCTGTGAAGGGATAGTGGGGAAAGGAGGGGAGAGTAGAGAGAGGGGAGGGGAGAACAAGGATGAACCGGGGAGAGTGGAGAGGGGCAAGACCACAGGTGGCCCGGCCGATGAGGTCCCACACCTTGAGGCGCGTGCTGGGGGCTGCGTAGGACGCATGGACCTTGTCGTCTGTGTTCAGAACGCCCAAGTCACCCGCGGGCTGTGAAGGGATAGTGCGGAAAGGAGGGGAGGGTAGAGGGAGGGTAGGGGACATGACATGACATGACCCACGGCCCAGCCTATGAACCTTGAGGCACGTGCTGCGCGCTGCATTGGCAGCATGGCCCTTGCAGTCTGCCTGTAGCACACCCAAGCTGCGGGCGGGCTGTGAAGGGGAGGGGTGAAAAACGGAGGAATTAGAGGGAAGGAGAAAAAGGAGAGGATATGGGCGGGACCCGCAACAGCTGGGCACCGCATTGAACAGTCTGTCTACACTCCGAAAGTACCCGATCATCAGCAGCACTAGTTTTGAGTCTCCTCAAAACTAGTCTACACTCTGAAAGTACCCCAGCATCAGTAGCAGTGGCAGTTGACGCCTTCCCCAAGAAGCACCCAACAACTAGCTGAACTATTGTTCCTGCTGCAATGTACGTACCCCATCAGCAGCAACAGCAGCAGATGGCGCCTCCCCTGGATGGCACCTGCCGGTGCTGTCAGCGCCGCGCGTGAGGTCTCCATACTCGTTGACAGCCCACGCATGGGCGGTGGAGGGGGAGAGGCCGTCAAACTGCGCTTCCACCCGCACCTCCTCCATGCTCACCTGGGAGGAAAAAGACGGGCGCGGGGGGGGGGGGGGAGAGTGGAAGGAGGGAGAGGGGGAGATATGGCAATGGTACATGCAATGGTGACACTCAATGGTGACACTCGGGTCGGGTGAGGTCCCCATACTCGTTGACAGCCCATGCATGGGCGGTGGAGGGGGAGAGGCCATCAAACTGCGCCTCCACCCACACCTCCTCTGTGCTCACCTGGTGGGGGGAGGGGAGGGAAGGCAATGGTACATACATACACTGGGTGGCACTCTCGTTGACAGCCCATGCATGGGCAGTCGAGGGCGCGAGGCCGTCAAACTGCGCCTCCACCCGCACCTCCTCCATGCTCACCTGGTGAGGGGAGCGGGGGGGGGGAGGGGAGGGCGGGGAGCGGGAAGGGCGTTGGAGGTGTTACAGTTTCTGCATGCTAATCGCTTCCACCCGCACCTCCTCCATGCTCAACTGGTGGGGGAGAGGGGGGGAGAGGGGGAGAAGGGATGAGAAGCCAGTGGTACAAGCAAAGACATGAGAAGCCAGTGGTAAAAAGCAAAGGCGGCGACAGAACTGCGTGGTCCCTCTGAGGCCCCATGTCCTGCCACCCAACTGTGTGGTCCCTCTGAGGCCCCATGTCCTGCCACCCAACTGCGTGGTCCCTCTGAGGCCCCATGTCCTGCCACCCAACTGCGTGGTCCCTCTGAGGCCCCATGTCCTGCCACCCAACTGCGTGGTCCCTCTGAGGCCCCATGTCCTGCCACCCAACTGCGTGGTCCCTCTGAGGCCCCATGTCCTGCCACCCAACTGCGTGGTCCCTGTGAGGCCCCATGTCCTGCCCTGCCACCCAACTGAGCCTCCATGCGCACGTCCTCCGTGCGCCTCACCTGGGGGAGGGAGGAGGGGAGGGGGAGGTGGGGGGAAGGGGGGGGGGAAGGAGGAAGGGGGTGGCAGTGATACAGGTGCAGCTTCTGCCTGGCCAGGCCACCGCTCCACACGACTTTTGAGGCGCCTCAAACACCGCCTTCACACGCACCAACCAACCCCACGCTCACTTGAGGGGAGGTGGATTGGATAGGAATGGGCGTGACAGGGGGGAGAGATGGGCGGGGAAGGGAGAGAGGGAGGGGCAGCAGAGTTACTCATATGGATAAAAACAATACTATGTGGGTCGGTATGACTTTGAGGTGACTTTTGAAACAGCTAACTTTGCCCCCCTTGAATGAAATGAAAAGCTCCAGTGTTCTCCGCTTACAAGACGCATTTCATGTCACAAAGCGGTCAGTCAAGTCAGCCTGATCAGTAAGTTGGATCCGTAGCATGCCCTTAGCTGGGCCTTAAGAACGATAGGTTTCTGAGAATTCTCAAAAACGATAGCCGCCTCACAGGGCTCGAGGTCCCATGCTCTCAGCCCGCTCACGCAGTCTAAAAGACGGCCCGCCTCACCTGGGCGAACCGCACTACACCGTGGATCACCGGCCCCTTGAACTCCGCCACTGCTGCTGTGAGGGCCAGCTCTGGTGTAACAGGGAGAGATGGATGGACGGAAAAGAGGAAGAGCAGATGAGGGAGGAGGACGAGAGGAGAGAGAACGAGAGGAAGGTAAGAGATGGAAGCGAACCAGAGGGGCCTTAAAGGCCACCCATTGCTGTTGTGCGAACCAGCTCAGGGGTCGAACGGATGGACAGAGAAGAGGAAAGCGGAAGGAAGAGAGGGTTGAGGACGCCAGGGGAAGACATGGGTGAGGGGAGACACGGGTGGGGGGAGACACGGGTGGGGGGAGACACGGGTGGGGGGAGACACGGGTGGGGGGAGACACGGGTGGGGGGAGACACGGGTGGGGGGAGACACGGGTGGGGGGAGACACGGGTGGGGGGAGACACGGGTGAGGGCGCGGGAGGTGCTATTTGGTGGTTGCACTGCAGAGCGTTGAGCTCGCTCGGAATCTGTTGAGATCTAGTAGTACAGGCGTTTTTAAACACAGTCTATCTTGTAAGCCCAGATCTAGTCTGCTGCTCGCTGAGAACTATGTCAGACGGCTGATCCACACATATGCCCTTCACCATCACTCACGAGACGGGCCATGCGGCCGCTCTTCTTCAGCGCCTCCTCCAGCTGGGCTAGCGTGGCACTCACTCCCCAACACCATGGCCCCGTGAGAGTTTACTCATGCAACAGCCCTCCACACACTTGCACACCCATGTGAACCTCGCTTCAGTGAGAGTTGACTCATGCAACAGCCCTCCACACACTTGCACACCCATGTGAACCTCGCTTCAGTGAGAGTTGACTCATGCAACAGCCCTCCACACACTTGCACACCCATGTGAACCTCGCTTCAGTGAGAGTTGACTCATGCAACAGCCCTCCACACACTTGCACACCCATGTGAACCTCGCTTCAGTGGAGTTGACTCATGCAACAGCCCTCCACACACTCGCACACCCATGGCCACAATCACTCACGCGACGGGTCGCCCTGGCCGATCAGCCGCGCCTTGCGGCCGCTCTTCTTCAACGCCTCCTCCAGCTGGGCTAGCGTGGCGCTCCCCAACACACGCACCACCTGCGACTCCAGACTGATGTCCACCAGCTTGACACCTGGTGGGAGATGGCGAGAGAGGGAGAGGGGGGATGAAGGAAGTGAAGGGGGAGGAGGACGGACCAGCGTGGCACTGCCCAACATGAAGAGGAATTGAGGGATAGAGGGAGGGAGCAGCGGTGAGAGAGGGTGAGGGAAGCGAGGGGAGTGAGGAGTGTGAGGGAGTGAGTGAGGGAGGGGGACGGGCTAGCGTGGCACTTCCGAGAAATCGCACCACCTGCGAGATTCAACCACCTTGCTGCCTGCCTGGTAAGGGACGGGACGGAAGACAAAGGTGGGCGAGAGTGGGTGTAGTAAGTCGATTTTTGAGTCGACTAAAAAATCGACCACCTGCGAGATTCAATTCAACCACCTTGCTGCCTGGTAAGGATGTGACTTTTGAGTCGACTCAAAATTCAACCACCTTGCTGCCTGCCTGGTAAGGGACGGAAGACCAAGGTGGGCTGGGCGAGGGTGGGGCAACCCAACAGACACACCCTCTGCAAGGCCAGCAACTCAAGCTCCGGGCTTGCAAAAGCAGGCCGAATATCAAGGCAAAACACGCAGCAGTCGAGAGGACAAGCGTACTGTTGAAGCGCCTCACACGCCCAGTGCAGCAGCCATGGCCCATGCGGTGCGGACACACCATATCTCTCATCTATCTATATCCTCGCGCCAGACACGATTCCAGGGAAGATTTTTTTAGGCGCCTCAAAAATCATGCGGACACACCATATCTCTCACCTATCTATATGCTCGCGCCAGAGACACAATTCCAGGGAAGCGCACCTGTTGATCCATTCCACTATATCTCAACTTATGAGCTATTCTATTCCACAGGTGCGTGCGCCTCCCCGGAATTGTGCTTATGAGGCGCACGCACCTGTTGATCCATTCCATTCCACTATATCTCAGCTTATGTGCTGTTGTATTCCAAGATAAAACTCCCATCATGTATACATGCTATTTTTTATAAAACCCCTGCCATACCATTCCTCCTTCCGAGATTCCAGCCCACCTCCCCATCCCAATGGTTCACACACTCACCTTCCATTCCAGAGGGAGGAGAGGCATGGGGAGGTGGCGCCCACCGCCCCATCCCAATGGTTCCCATCCCACTCACCTTCCAGAGGCTCCAGCTTCCCCCGCACGTTCTTGACGCAGCTCTGGCACGACATGTCCACCATGAACTCCGTCTGATAGGCATGAGGGGAGGGGCGGAGAGGGGCGAGGAAGTGGGGAAGGAGAATGCACGGGGAGCACACTGTTCTTGATGCACGGGGAGCACACTGTTCTTGATGCACGGGGAGCACACTGTTCTTGATGCACGGGGAGCACACTGTTCTTGATGCACGGGGAGCACACTGTTCTTGATGCACGGGGAGCACACTGTTCTTGATGCAGCTCTGGCAGCACATGTCCACCATGAACTCGGTCTGATGCGGGCGATGGAGAAGGGGAGGGAGGGGAGGAGGGAAAAGAAGGGAGGAAGGGAGGAGAGGTATGGGTGGGGAGCACAGCGTTCGTTCTTGACGCAGTCTGGCACGACATGTCCATCATGAACTCCGTCTAATGGAGAGACGAGGGTGCGGAGAGGAAGGGGGGGAAGGAAGGGAGGAAGGGAGGTAGGGAGGGTAGGTATGGGGAGCACACTGTTCTGACGCAGCTCTGGCACGACATGTCCACCATGAATTCCGTCTGCAAGGCGAGACAGGGGCAGGGGGGGGGGAAGAGTTAAGTGGTATGATACGCTACGGACGACATGGGGAGCACATCGCTCGTGACGCAGCTCTGGCACGACATGTCCACCATGAACTCGGCCTGTGAGAGACCAAGGGTGAGGAGGAGAGGGGGGGAGAGAAGGGAGGAAGGAGGGAGAGAAGGGAGGAAGGAGGGAGAAGTAAGGGGAGCACAACGTTCTTGACGCAGCTCTAGCACGACATGTCCACCATGAACTCCGTCTGTGAGAGACGAGGAGGGGGGAGAGGAGGGGAGAGGAGGGCAAGGGGGTGAGGCCGGGCGGGAGGAAGGGCATGGGGAACACAGAGCTCCATGATGGAGCAAGGGGGGTGAGGCCCGGGACATGTTATGACGCAGCTCCCGGGAGCACCATGCCCTTCCTCCCGGTAGGTTATGCTCTGCGGCTTATACGCAGCTCTGGCAGGTTATGCCCACCCTGCACTCAGTCTGCGGCGCGAGGGACCAAGGGGAGGAGAGGGAAGGGAGGGAGGAAGGGAGGGAGGAGGGCAGGAACGGAGGGACGGGGTCGGAGGAGGGAGAGAAATTGGGGGATGAAGGGAGGAGAGGCATAGGAAGCACAAGGATATTGACTCAGCGAGACTGCGGGGTTGAGTGGTGGGGGGTGGGGGGGGGAGGAGGGGGGGGGTGTGGCGGAAGGGCAGTGAGAGAGAGAAACACTTTTTTTTACGACCCGTCAACAAACGCATCGGTAAAATCATTGCTATCGAAAATCGTCATTTTGAGGCGCCTCAAAGAAAGCTAACATTCGTTGGCTGACAACAGCTAACGCGTCTCGCAGCACTCTTGAGGATTCACGAGAAAAACGACTCTCAAGTTTCTTGCAGCAAAACGATTTGACACGACCTGCTTGTGAGGGCCGTGTGCGTAGTGATCTACACGCCATTCCTATCCGTGCCACGTCGAACCCAGTATGCCACGTCAGGCATGCCACGTCATACCATGAGGTCGGGAAGCTGCGTGGCCGTGGAGGGCGCTGAAACGGTTGTGGCGGAACCGCCCTGGGGGGGATGAAAGTCGCAGAGGAGCGCGGAGCGCGGAGAACGCGGGGAGTGCGAAAGCGAGGGGAATGCGGGGAACGCGGGGATCGCGGGGAACGCGGAGAACGCGGAGAACAGGGAGGGTGCAGGGAGCGCAGGGAGAGCGGGGAGAGCCGGAAGAGCGGGGAGAGCAGGGAGGGCGGGGAGAGCGGCGAGGGCGGGAAGAGGGGGAAAACACGAGGCGCGCGAGGGTGAGTCGAAATTTGAGAGACGAGATTCACGGAAGGCAGATGGTGGGTCGCTGGTACTAGTCATCTACATGCATCGTCGCAATCGCTCACGTCGCACAGCACAGCCGTCGTCGCCAGCCGTCGCTCACCTCGCTCGCCATCGCACGGCACCCCAATCGCGCGCTCCTTCCCGCTGCTGCTGCTGCCTTCCGCCGATCGCTTCCACGTGCACTCGCCTTCAGCCCCTTCCCGCGCACTGGCGCAGCCCTGAGCTCGCGCACGTTACCGCGGGTTACCGCAGCCGGACTTGTGAGATTAAGGCGGCAAAGATGCTGCGACGCGCTCAAGGAGGCGGCGGGAGCAGCCATAACTAGCTTGCGAGTTACGGCGAATAGTGTTGTAAACACGAGTTGATAGAACTACGGGCGGATAGGGTGTGGGAGAATCTAGAAGGTCGGCAATAGCTGGGAAGCTGGGGGGTGGAGATGGAAGGGGGAGAGGGGGGGAGTGGGCGGGGAAGAAGCACGGGCATGCGGACGCAGCATTTCCGCGCGGAGTTCAGCCATTTTCCCCTCAACAGCCCACAGCAGTTTCCGGCTGCGCCAACAGACTCGTGCGGCAAAACCGAGGTGCCAGCGAATACGCGGGCGCGGGACAAAAGTGAACGCGGGCTGGAGGCGCATGTATCTTGACGCGGTGCATGCATCACCCGCAGATGAACGCGGAAAGAGTCAAGCCTTGTTCTAAAGGATAAATATTTGTTATAAACTCTTTTGGAGAACAATAACAAATTCAGTGACCTTATTGTTGTTATTTGACAAATATTATCAAACAATAATGGCATGGCATCATGCCAGCTGTGGGCAATCCCGTGCGACGGGCCACTAGTTATGCCTGCCTGCCTGTGCCTCCTGTTGCCGCACAGGGTAGAAATACGGGTGCGCCTGCACAAGGACACGAGACAAAGAGAAAATGGAAATGAGACACAGAAAGATTAGGTGCTTCAGATTGGGAAATATTAAAAGAGTGGAAGGGAAAAATCAGACACAGAGTGACCACTCTAGCCTCTCTACACAACTTAACATGGCTTCTACACCACCCACCACCTGGCCACTAGACACATTCAGAAACTCAACAGCCCAGCCTTATCCACACTGCATCCACCCCCTTCACTAACAGCCTCACTGAATGACTCAGCACACCCACCATGGCATCCACCACTGTGAGCCGGTCCTGGTGGTGGTATTGCAGCAGCTCAACAGCTCAGCCAGGCACATTACATCAATGTCACACCTCCACATCACCAGCACCAAACCCCTTACACCAGCACCATCAAGGCCCCTCTACTTCACCCACCATGGCCCCTCTGGCTGTGAGTTGGTCCTGGTGGTCGTACTGCAGCAGCTTGTCCAGAACTTCACACCCCTCCCTAATCAACCCCTTATCAACCCTTACCAACCCCTTATCAACCCCGTGAGCACCACTCACCATGGCCTCTCTGGCTGTGAGTCGGTCCTGGTGGTCGTACCGCAGCAGCTTGTCCAGAAAGTCCACCGCCTGCCCACCACGTGTTGCAGGGAGTAGGCGGCAACCAGCGGGAATGAGCGACAGCAATGAGAAGAAAAGAGACACAGAGATAAGGGATAAGGCAAGGGCGGATGGGGAGAAGGCAGGGGTGGATGGAAGAAGGCACAGGGGGGATGTGGGCAATGGCCCATGCAACATACAGCATACCTCGGGTGAGACAAGGTGCTGGTTGTCGCTGTTAACGAACTTGGACCACGGCTTGCGGCTGTGCTGCCCCACCAGCTTTGAACCGTCTTAAAAATCACCCCAAACACCCCAAACATCCCAAACAGCATACCTCAGGGGAGACAAGGTGCTGGTTGTCACTGTTGACAAACTTGGACCACGGCTTGCGGCTGTGCCGCCCCACCAGCGCCTCCAGATGCGGGTCCAGCATGATGCTGTACTTGCCCAGATAGCTGTTCAGCTCGTCCGTGCCCAGCACCTGCATGTAGGATGATGATAGGTGAGGCAAACAGCGACTACAGTGAGGGGTGGTAAAGACGAGGGTCCATCCAGCATGATGCTGTACTTGCCCAGATAGCTGTTCAACTCGTCCGTGCCCAGCACCTGCATGTAGGATGATGATAGGTGAGGCAAACAACGACTACAGTGAGGGGTGGTAAAGACGAGGGTCCATCCAGCATGATGCTGTACTTGCCCAGATAGCTGTTCAACTCGTCCGTGTCCAGCACCTGCATGTAGGATGATGATAGGTGAGGCAAACAACGACTACGGTGAGGGGTGGTAAAGACGAGGGTCCATCCAGCATGATGCTGTACTTGCCCAGGTAGCTGTTCAACTCGTCCGTGCCCAGCACCTGCATGTAGGATGATGATAGGTGAGGCAAACAACGACTACGGTGAGGGGTGGTAAAGACGAGGGTCCATCCAGCATGATGCTGTACTTGCCCAGGTAGCTGTTCAACTCGTCCGTGCCCAGCACCTGCATGTAGGATGATGATAGGTGAGGCAAACAACGACTACAGTGAGGGGTGGTAAAGACGAGGGTCCATCCAGCATGATGCTGTACTTGCCCAGATAGCTGTTCAACTCGTCCGTGCCCAGCACCTGCATGTAGGATGATGATAGGTGAGGCAAACAACGACTACAGTGAGGGGTGGTAAAGACGAGGGTCCATCCAGCATGATGCTGTACTTGCCCAGATAGCTGTTCAACTCGTCCGTGCCCAGCACCTGCATGTAGGATGATGATAGGTGAGGCAAACAACGACTACGGTGAGGGGTGGTAAAGACGAGGGTCCATCCAGCATGATGCTGTACTTGCCCAGGTAGCTGTTCAACTCGTCCGTGCCCAGCACCTGCATGTAGGATGATGATAGGTGAGGCAAAAAACGACTACAGTGAGGGGTGGTAAAGACGAGGGTCCATCCAGCATGATGCTGTACTTGCCCAGATAGCTGTTCAACTCGTCCGTGCCCAGCACCTGCATGTAGGATGATGATAGGTGAGGCAAACAACGACTACAGTGAGGGGTGGTAAAGACGAGGGTCCATCCAGCATGATGCTGTACTTGCCCAGATAGCTGTTCAACTCGTCCGTGTCCAGCACCTGCATGTAGGATGATGATAGGTGAGGCAAACAACGACTACAGTGAGGGGTGGTAAAGACGAGGGTCCATCCAGCATGATGCTGTACTTGCCCAGGTAGCTGTTCAACTCGTCCGTGCCCAGCACCTGCATGTAGGATGATGATAGGTGAGGCAAACAACGACTACAGTGAGGGGTGGTAAAGACGAGGGTCCATCCAGCATGATGCTGTACTTGCCCAGATAGCTGTTCAACTCGTCCGTGCCCAGCACCTGCATGTAGGATGATGATAGGTGAGGCAAACAACGACTACAGTGAGGGGTGGTAAAGACGAAGGTCCATCCAGCATGATGCTGTACTTGCCCAGATAGCTGTTCAACTCGTCTGTGCCCAGCACCTGCATGTAGGATGATGATAGGTGAGGCAAACAACGACTACAGTGAGGGGTGGTAAAGACGAGGGTCCATCCAGCATGATGCTGTACTTGCCCAGGTAGCTGTTCAGCTCGTCCGTTCGCAGGACCTGAGAGTGGGATGATGAGACGTGGCGACGTGGAACGATCGGGATCAGGAAAGGGGTTTTAGGGAGCGAAGCATATGGAAGGGATGTGCGGAGCACTGATTTCCTGCCAAGCCAAGCATGTCACTGAGACTCTGAAAGAAACAGATTCCTCACAAGAATCGATGATGCTCACAGCCCACAGCTTGGACGGTGGAGATCTGAATAGGGTTGAGCAAAAAAACGAACACCTGTTCGGTTCGCCTCGAACGTGTTCGAGGCGAACCGAACAGGTTTTTTTTTTTGGCTTAAAATGTTCGCCGAACAGTGTTCGATGTTCGCCCGAACACGTTCGTGTTCGGGCCGCTGCTGCAATTTGCCCGCGACGAACACGAACAGTGTTCGAGGTTCGCCCGAACACGCCTTCACAGGCGAACGGCAAACACCATTTTTTGCTCAAAGTGTTCGCCGAACCGAACAGAGTTCGGTTCGGCAAACGAAGGTGTTCGTGTAGGGGCGAACACGAACACGTTCGTGTTCGCCACTTGCTCATCCCTAGATCTGAAAAGCCAAAAGTGATCATCCCGGTGATGGTCATGATCGGGGGTAAACCAGCCAGGAGGAACAGGTCGGACTGCCAGGCCTTGCCCCACTGTGCACGTGCGACAGGTTTGCGTGACTCAGTCAGTCAGTCTCAGTCAGTCCGTCAGTCGCCCCTGCTTTCTGAGGCGCCAAGAGCTTCGCACCTTGGCGATTTTGACAAGCTGGTCGTAGTTGTCGTGGCCGTAGAAGAAAGGCTCCTTGCGGAATATCTGCGCGCACGCACAGGGGAGAGTGAATGGAGAGACGGGCGAGATTCACAGAAATGCGGGAAAGGGAGGGTGAGAGGAGGTGATGTAATGGTCAGCTGTGGCTGTAGAAGAAGGGCTCCTTATGGAATATCTGAGGGCACACACAGGGCACGAGGCACAGGGCACGAGGCACAGGGCACGAGGCACAGGGCATGGGGCTGGGGTATGGGGAGAGAAGGGACGGGCAGGGGCAGAGTGAAGTGAACGGAAAGAGGGGGTGGGGGTGGGGTGTCGGAGATGATGGTGATGGACAATAGTGGGCATCAACAGGGGTTTGTTGCGGGGTATGTGAGCAGCACATGTATGGGTCAAGGAAAGGAACAAGCATCTTTGACAGTGGGAAATGAGAGGAGCGGGGGGGGATAGGAGGGGGAGAAGGTAGAAGAGTAATGCTGGTTTATATAGACCCACTCGGACAACAGCCACAGTCCGCTCTAAATATACTCTGTACATGCATCCACGGCTCATCATGACCCGTACACCACACCCTCCATGTTCCACACCCCCACCATGTCCCTCCCCACACCATACAAACCATGCACCCACACCCACCCACCATGCCAGCGAACATGCAGCCAAGGCTCCACATGTCCAGCAAGTAATCGCAGTCCTGTAGGTCCACTCCAGTGCTTACGTGCATGCACATCATGCTCCATGCTCTCACCACGCCCCCCATGGCTCACCATGCCAGCGAACATGCAGCCAAGGCTCCACATGTCCAGCGAGTAATCATAGTCCTGTACGTCTGTTGTGTACACGCATGCACCTCATGATCCGTGCTCACGGCTCAGTGATCTCACCAAGCCCCCAACCCGAGTCTCACCATGCCAGCGAACATGCAGCCAAGGCTCCACATGTCCAGCGAGTAGTCATAATCCTGCAGGTCCACTAGCAGCTCGGGACCCTTGAAGTACCTGCGGGGATAGGGAGGGGAGGGGAGCACGAAGAGACGCAAACACCTTCATGATGCTGACTCACTCACCACCGTGCACCACCTTCATGATGCGTCACGTTCCTTCCTGCACGCCATACAGCTCCGCGCACCTGGACGCCACGCGCACGCTGTACTGCTTGCTGGGATGGTACAGACAGTACAAACAACAACTCTGTCAGCCCTCAGTTACACTGCACTGCACCCACCCAGGCATACCAAGATGTGCCACATGCCATGCCTGCATACCGTACAGTACACGATACCTGGACGGACGCCACGCGAACGTTGTACTCCTTGTTGGGGTGGTAGAATTCCGCCAGCCCCCAGTCAATGAGTCTAGGCATTCCGGGTGCATCGCATGCGTGCACTGCACTGCACGCGGTACAGCGTGCGTGCGTACCGTGTCGCAGAACTGACTGACCTCGACGCCACCCGGACATTGTATTCCTTGTTGGGGTGGTGAAACTCCGCCAGCCCCCAGTCGATGAGGCAAGGCATTCCAGGGTGCATCACAAGCATGCGCGCGCTGCACGCGGTACAGCGTGCGTGCGTACCGTGTCGCAACAGAACTGACTGACCTCGACGCCATCTGAACATTGTACTCCTTGTTGGGGTGGTGGAACTCCACCAGCCCTCAGTCAATGAGGCGCGGCTTCGTCTGCTCATGCCTTCACGCACTAAGAACAGAACAGTCACTGCCACACTGCCGTAGCACAACCACTGACTGACCTGGACGCAACGCGAACGTTGTATTCCTTGTTGGGGTGGTGGAACTCGGCGAGCCCCCAGTCAATGAGGCTGCCTAGGCATTCCAAGATGCATCACATGCGTGCACACAGTACACCGTACCTAGATGCCACCCGAACGTTGTACTCCTTGTTGGGGTGGTAGAACTCCGCCAGGCCCCAGTCGATGAGGCGCAGCTTCCTCTGCTCGTGGTCGATCATCACGTTGTGCGGCTTCACGTCCCGGTGCATGATGCCCTGTGAATGGCAGAAGTCCAACGCCTGGCAGTGGGGTATGTGGAGTTGTGATGCCAGGGAGCATTGGGAGTGGAGGTGTATGCATGAGGCGCAGCTTCCTCTGCTCGTGGTCGATCATCACACTATGTGGCTTCACGTCCCGATGCATGATGCCCTGTGAATGGCAGAAGTCCAACGCCTGGTGGGGCGCACGCATGGGAAGGGAGGAGAAGGGAACTTGAGGGTTGAAGGGAGAAGCTTCACATCCTCATGAATGATTAGCTTGAGTGGCAGAAGTGATAAGCCTGGCGGGGCAGGATGGGAAGGGAAGGGAACACAGGGAATGAAGCGCACGGTGAGGCACAGACACAAGCACATGGTCACACGCCCTTCCACTGCCCCTTCCACTGCCCTTCCACTGCCCCTTCCACTGCCCCTTCCACTGCCCCTCCAGTGCCCCTTCCAGTGCCCCTTCCAGTGCCCTTCCAGTGCCCTTCCAGTGCCCCTCCAGTGCCCCTTCCAGTGCCCTTCCAGTGCCCCTCCAGTGCCCCTTCCAGTGCCCCTTCCAGTGCCCTTCCAGTGCCCCTCCAGTGCCCCTTCCAGTGTCCTTCCAGTGCCCCTCCAGTGCCCCTTCCAGTGCCCTTCCAGTGCCCCTCCAGTGCCCCTCCAGTGCCCCTCCAGTCACGCCTACAGCCCCACAAGCGCACCTTGAGCAGCTCGTAGATGTAGTAGCGGATGTCGTAATCAGAGAGCGTGGGGTAGAGCACTTTGACTCAAGTGCTGCGAACAGAGACACAGGCATACAAAAACATGGTCACATCACACGACGTGATCACATAGCATGGTCACACACCCATTCAGCACACCTTGAGCAGCTCGTAGATGTAGTAGCGGATGTCGTAATCAGAGAGCGTGGGGTAGAGCACTTTGAAGTCGGTGTTGTTCACAAACTCAAAGATGAGCGACGGCGTCTTGCTCTGCGGGTCGCGCACAATGTCCAGCAGGCGGATGATGTTGGGGCCGCCGCACAGGTTCTGCAGAATCTTAATTTCTCGCTTGATCTGGTGGCGGTTGCATACGGGGAGGAATGGAGGATGGGATGTGGGATGAGGGAGGGCGGGTGATGTCCAGCAGGCGGATGATGTTGGGGCCGCCGCACAGGTTCTGCAGAATTTTCATTTCTCTCTTGATCTGGTGGCGGTTGGAGTGAGAAGGGATACGGGGAGAGGGCTCAAAGATGAGCGACGGCGTCTTGCTTTGTGAATCGCTCGCGCACGATGTCCAGCAGGCGGATGATGTTGGGGCCGCCGCACAGGTTCTGCAGGATCTTGATTTCCCGCTTGATCTGATGGTGAGGGAAGGGGAAGAGGGGCGAATGAAACAGGTTATGCGGGGGGTGGGACGAGGAGGAAGGGTCGCGCACGATGTCCAGCAGGGGGAGATGTTGGGCCCACCCCACCCCACCCCACCACCACCACCACACAGGTTCTGCAACCGTTTTGGTCTGGTGTGTGTTGCACATGGGAAAGGATGGGGGATGAGGGGATCGGGATGGGAGTGGGAGTATGGGGGATGGGGGATGGGGATGGGGGATGGGGATGGGGATGGGGGATGGGCGAGGGGGGCAGGTTATGTCCAGCAGGCGGATGATGTTGGCCCCCCTGCACAGGTTCTACAGAATCTTAATCTCCCGCTTGATCTAATGTGTGTGTGGGTGTTGCACTGGAGGAGGGATGGGGGACGCGGGATGGCCCTGTTGACCGCGTTGACCCCCCTTGACCCCGTCAGTCCACTCTCACCTTTTTCTTCTTGACGGGTTTGAGGATCTTGATTATGCACTTCCCGCTGTTGACCGCGTTGACCTTGTTAACCGCGTTGACCGCGTTGACCGCCGCGTTGACCCATCAGTCAACTTACCTTCTTCTTCTTGACGGGTTTGAGGATCTTGATGATGCACTTCTCGCTGTTGACCGCGTTGACCCCCTCAAACACCTCGCTATACTTGCCCCGCCCCACCTTGCGCACCACCTCGTAGTCGTCCTGGTCGCTGCGAGATTGGAGGGGGGGGGGGGGGGGGTTTCAGGATTGTTTGGCCTCATTGACCGCGTTGACCGCGTTGACCCCCTCAAACACCTCGCTGTAGTTTCCCCGCCCACCTTGCGCACCACCTCGTAGTCGTCCTGGTCTCTGCTAGGGGGAGAAGAAAAGAAGGGCGGAAGAAGTGGGGGATGGGGGGTGAAGGGAATGGGGGGGAAGTGGGGAGGGGGTGGGGAATGGGGAGGGACCGGAAACGTAAGAGGAGAACCATGCGCCGCCCCATCTTGCGCACCACCTCGTAGTCGCTCTGGTCGCGGGGAAAAGGGAAGAAGGAAGGGGCGGTAGTGCGGGGCGGGGGGGGTGAGGGAGAGGAGATGAATGGAGATGAAAAGTCCTGGCCCCTGCGTGCTCGGTTAGAAGAGGGAGAAATAGGGGATTGACTTGTGGGACGCGTGTGTATCTAAGGACAATGAGACGAACTCCATAGTTCAGGTGAAAAAAAAAGGTCCACGGACGGAAATGGCTGATGCGTTTTATGCGAATTAGAAGTTTGAGAGCGTGGTAAACAATGACATTGGACTTCAAAACGCATCACTAACGGCGGACATAGATTGGAGCGTGAGAAGCGACACGACGGGGATACGTCCCGCAATAATTTGGCGGGAAATTAGACTCTCATCGCGCAACCGTTGACGTACCCCCACTGCACGGTGAGCGCCTCGTAGTCAAACAAACCCCTTTAAAAGCGATATAAAAAAGTCGGCACCCAAAATGGGGTTAGATACTTGACATACCCCCACTGCACGGTGAGCGCCTCGTAGTCCCAATACTCCTTGGGCCGCTGCACGTTCACGTCCGCGTATATCCGCGCTTGCGACATATCGCGCGTCTCGTTGCAATGACTTTTGCTCTGTCAATTTAAGCCTAAACGAGTCCAGCGAATATGCAGTCAATGCACTCAACGAAAACAGTCGGTCGTGAGACGGTCAGCCAACGTGACACAGACGGTCAAAGCGCGACGTTAAGGAAAACGATGTAGTCAGAAACGACCGTCGAATGCTTGAAACTTGGTCGTAACCCTAAAACGTGAACTGGGAGTGAACTAGCAACTGGCTTACCGGTTTTGGCGTAAATCAGCAGGGAACAATCGCGGCTAGGTTGGAGGCCCGTCCGCGTTGCAGGCTGTTTGGCAAATATCTTCGCATGTGCGCAACAACCTTCTTGTGGCCAAGTTTAGAAAAATATGGCCAATGAGGAGGCTATAAGAGCGTTGTGCATGCTCCAGCATTCTGCAAGAAGCACTGTACTCCATACCGCAGCAGCCAATGTGCTGGCATTTTTTCCGCGTCACTGTTTACTTTTCCCACGCTTTGACTGACGCGTGGGATGTCGTCGCCCATTTTCAACTCCCTGTCGGCGAGGGTGAACACTCGAACCTCAGCGTACGGCGTGGGAACTTCCGAACCTCGACCACTAACCTACCAGGGCCAGCGAAAACCAGAACCAGACGGAAATCCAGACCTGAAGCCCAGGTTCCCACTTTTGACTCGAGTCTCCCATTTTCCTCGTAAACAAAGCTGGTATTTGACGCTGGTATAAGTAGTCAGCGACAATCCTCGCATTTCACACCAGGACCTCACAACTCTCTGCTTCCTCAACTAGACTCTAAACCAGCAGCAGGAAACCAGATTTAAATCGTTTTGATCATCTGTAAGCACGACACCAGTCATGGCTGCAGTCAGAGCGCTCGTCCTCGCGTGCGTGCTCCTCCTCGTGTCGACGTCCGCCTTGGCGCAGCGTGGTCCGCCTGGCGGAGGTCCTCCCGGCGGTCAGCGACCGGGGGGCGCAAGCGGAGGACCTGGCGGTAACGGCGGCCCCGGCAGACCCGGCGGTCGCGACGGTCCCGGCGGGCCTGGCGGACCGCACGGGCCTCCGCTGAACCTGACGGCCGTCGGGAATCTGACGGCCGGTGTTGGCGCGCGGCTCGCCAACTGCACCGTGGATCAGAAGACCCTCAACGGCAGCTTCCACCTCGCCGTCTTCAAGAATTCCACCGGGAACTACAACCTTCTCGTCGAGGCGATGCTGGTGGACGCGGCGGGCGGTCCGCCCAACTCGCTGGCGATCGTGAAGGGCGCCGTGTGCGACGCCGCCGCGACGGACGTGCTCGCGCTGCCACTCGCCGCGGCGGACTGGCAGCAGCGCACGGGGTGGTGGCTGCTGCACGCGGAGGCGCGCCTCGATGCGTTCCTCGAGAACGCGGACGCCGCCACCCTCGACGCGCTGCTCGCCGTGCTCCCCACCGCCTCGCCTCCGCCCACCAGCGGCAGCGGGCGCAGCGGCGGAGGCAGCGCGGGGGGCGCACGGAACGGGCAGGGCGGGAGGCGCATGGGGCGTGAGCTGCTGATGGGCGCATTCGGCCGCGCTGCCAGGCAGGGGGGACAGAACCAGGGGGGGCAGAAGCAGGGGGGGCAGCAGCAGGGGGGGCAGCAGCAGGGGGGAGCGCAGCAGGCGCCTGCAGTGAGTGGGTATGCTGTGCTGGCGGGCAGCAGCGCAGCAGGTGTGACGTGGGGCGGGCAGCTCATGGGCGCCAAGATGCCCGCTGCTGCTGCTTGATGCTCCTCTGCCGTGCTGCGGGGTTTGGGGGTTTTGAACCCAGCCTTGCAGGCTGCAGTTGTGGTTGTGATGGGCTCGAGGGCTTCTTAGCCATGTGTGTCTGGATAGGTTTGGTGTCTGGTTCGTGCTCCAGTAGCTCTAATAGGTCAAAGCATCAAGGGCAGGAATGCTGGCAAGGCATCAGGGAACACCAACTGACTTGCCAGTCTTCCTACCCCTGATAGTTTCTGTGAGGCTATTCGCTGTAGTTGGTGTTGTGATTGGTTTCAACAAGTCAGTGTTTGTTCTCTGTTCCCTTATGGTGTCAGACATGTTCTGATAGTAACTGTTTTCTCAAGCTGCGAAAAGCAATTGTGAGTGTTGAATAACAAAATAATACCCCGAAATCTCAAGCTGAGTACTGTTTTTAGGCAATATGTATCTGCTGCTGGTGTACCGCTTTAGCCTCAGTGGCTGGACGCTCTTAGGGTGCGTCAGATCCGTTGGCCGGATCAATCCGGCCGGCCGGATCTAGCGAAGGTTACACATTCACGACATTTGTAAGTTGTTTCGTCAATTTCGCACAATCCGGCCACTTGCTAAAATTTTGATGGCCGCTTTGATAGCTGGTTTAGCGGTCGACAACTTTCCGACGTGCAAACGAATCACGAGTCGACCACATTGTCGACTCGTCAGCGATACAGTACCTGTGCGACTTGGCCAACATACCCAACTGACTCGACGTGTCACAAGGACGACTCGCACGGCACGTTCAGCCCCGTTGAACATGACCACTTTCCGGGGTCACACTTGTATAGAGCGAAACGTGCAATTTTACGCAAGACCAATCTGCGCCTCGCCACCTCGTCTTGACTGCGGAACATTGTTCTACTCCGTCACGGGGTCACACATGACGATCATTGCCAAACTCACCCAAGCAAAACTAGATTATGGCTTACAGGGATAGCAACGACATGAACACACAGTCTAGCGACAATGGCGGCACCCCAGGCACCCGCCCAGATACACAACAGTCTACCAACGCTGCTCAAGCTCCACCCATCAGAACTGTCAGGGAATCTTCCCGTGAGCACATTAACCCGTGGGATCGTAATCCAGACTGGTGGATTAACAACCTACCCCGCCCAGACTCGCCTTACGGTATCAACGATGACTACGGGGTAGGCGAGGAGGCCCCCGAAATATGCTCCGCCAATGACGACGAGGAGCTTGACCTAAACATAGGACGGACTAACACGGAGTCAGCGACCGCGACTATATCTACCGCTACCCGGACCACTTTGCCTCGATGGACCAAGGAAGAGGATTTCCTTCTGATGCAGGAGCGTCACGACATGCACGATGACTGGAATAACATGCGCGGAATGCAAGGCCAGAGCCAGCACGCCAAGCTGCATCGCAACCTGCTCGCCCGTAATCCGAGAGTGGCGCCACTCGGTTTCCGCTCTCCGACCGAAGCTCCGCCGCATGGAAGCCACATGGCTTCGATGGAGCAAGTTCTTAGAGCGCTCTGGCAAGGGTCGTGCGGATGGATGTCCGGCGTGGTATGATCTGGCCGACGCGATATTCCGACCGCGCGAATCTGTGAATCCAGAGACAACTGTGGAAAGCACCCCAACTGCAACGATGGCCAACACCGTGCCATCTGCGGCGAATGGCGGGCACACAACATCCGGGTGCAACGATGCGCCCGACTCTATCGCCGATAGCGTGGTGCCACCGTCGACCGGTCCAGGTTATGCCGTGCAACATGGCGGAACCCCGACCGTAGTTGCACCAGTCGCATCCGGGTCTACTGTACGCTCTGGTAAGCATTCTGAGTTTTAAATGGTTGTGCTTTGATATTACAAGTTACCCTGTTCAACTCCAGTACAACATGACTTTCCTCTCAACTCCATTACATTAATTCCCTCTCAACTCCGTCACTTTCCCTTGTTTCACCTGTGCCTGCAACAGTGCAGGCTACTGAACCAGCGGTCGCCCCGCCGGTCGCCAATCCCCTCGTCACTTCGCCTTCACGGTCGACGGGCCCTGAACCAGCCCGCCCCGCGGCGTCAACGCCGACTCCGCCTCGTCAGCAAGCCTTGCCACGCGCGCGCGCAGGCGCTCTATCCCTCGGTGCTCAGCCGGGTGGATCTCTCCGCAGTGGACGCACCACGGCGAGGGCGCGTGTGACGTCTGCGGATTGGGATGTTGGGGGGTGAACACGATGTTGAGTACAGTGGGCGACCGGGACGACGTAAGGGCAAGGAGAAGATGATGTACGATATGTGTGGGTTCATGACGAAGGAGTTAACGAGCGCTATCCAAACGACAATGACCCAGTTTTTTGAACGCACCCGAGAAGAGGACGAGAGAGCCCGGGATGCCCGAGACGCCAAGAGGCATAAAGGAAAGCAGAAAAGCGATTCCGCCTCAAAGTCGGAGTGAATCCGGCGATTTCGATGCCAGTGATGTGCAAGGCTGGCGGCCGGTCCTTGAAGCCACCATCTATTTCTCGGGTACGGCATCTCCATTCGGTATCTTGTGCCAAGCACCATTTCTATGTTATGCAGGGTTACCACAGCCTGCCACCGTGGCGGGCACATGGCGACGGTGGCATTCCATTCTGGCGTCTAGGATACGCCATTTTGTCTTTAAGCGCCCGTTGACTTGCTCAACTATCATGCGCGCCCGCGACTGCTGCTTGTTCCACACGGCTTGCGCGTCCGGCAGTAGCTGGCCTGGGGTGGCTCGGAAAGGCACGTAGATGTAGTTTTTAAGGCCGTATGCCGCATCGCTGACGATGCAGTAGTTGCCAATCCCTCCGCATTCAATCATTTGTTTAGCTTTCGAATTATTGAAAACATTCGAATCATTGCACGAACCCGGCCAGCCTGCTAACATGCTCCAAACAAGGCCGTTGGCGTCGACGAGTAGTTGTAGGATAATGCTGAAGAAGCCTTTACGGTTCTTAAAATCCTCCGCATGTGGTCCGGAACCGCGGGTGTGTATGTATGTGCCGTCCATAGCACCCACTATCCCTGGGATCCCACTGTCCCATTTAAAGTCTGCTTCCGAGGCAGCAAGTTCGTCTGTATCAGACCATAAAATCCATTCGGCCATGAGGACGTCTTCATTGAATCGGACCCAGGCCTTCACAATCGTGTGGGCATGCGCGTGTGAGAAGCCAAAAAGCAATCCCAGCTGACGAAATGTCATCCCGCTTCCGAAGCGAAGGAGCACAAGAGCTACTTGGAGAGCCACCTTGCATGCATGTTTGCC